AGGGGTATTTCTCTCTCGGGTATTTTATCACCAGTCTGGTTACATACAGGAAAAGTTCTTTTAATTAAATCACCCACCCTTATTTGTTTCTTTCCCTTTGAGAATTCACCAGAATTGGCTCACCAGGAAGATATTCTCATTAGTTAGTTCTTAAGACCCAAAAACAGAAAGAGGAAGCTTCAAGATCATGTACTGCCAAACAGGAAGTAAAAAACACAATAAAACTGTAAGTTTCAGAAACTCAAAAGGGAAATTAGTGGAATTACAGAGTCCCCTTGAACCAGGGGAGAGGAAAATAATGAATACACGAAGTTGCATACATATTTCCATATCTGTGCTAATTTTTTATCAGCTATTTTTTACTTTGGTTAAAAACTATTCACTTGCCTTGCATGAGAATTAAAACAGCAACACATTTTAAGTATTCCTTATATTTTGTAGCACTGTCACTGGAGGCTCTTCGAGCTTTCCAAAGTGACTGTCATGATTATCTATAGTGAAGTCTTGGTCAAAATTCATCCTTTATCATATATATATATATATATATATATATATACACACACACACACACACACACACACACACACACAGAGCATGGATATTGCCTGATAATCTCTCCAAATTAGGTGGCCCTGGTCTATATACCTCAAAGTGAGGCAGAGCTTGACCACCTGTGTCAGAACTATATCAAATATTCATCGAAAGCACACATTCCTGGGTCCCCACCTTGACCTATTGAGTGAATGTTAGACCTGGAGATGGGCATTTCAAATGCTCAGGTGATTCTTCTTTACAGTAAATTTTGAAAGTCTCACATGTTCCCTGGACGTGGAAGAGCACACTAAGAGACCCCAGCTCCACCCCATCCAGAAGTTTTCAAATCCCCACTTGTACTGCAAATCCCAAATGAGTGAACTTACCTTTTAGGGTAGTGAACTTAGAGGGAATCAGACCAATTCCACATCAAATATACTTAAGTTTTGATCAAACAAAGGGTGCCTATACACTGACACTAATTTTTTTTCACAATTTTGGGTGTGCAAGAGATATGATGATTTTTATCCTGCAAATAAAATTTTATCTTTCTCCCTCTACCCAAGTCTAAAAGTAATATAGATAGTGGTGCAGTAGAAATTTTTTTGGTGGGAGGGGCATCAAGGCTTTAAAAAAATAAGCACTTGGGGGTAAAACAAGCCTTTCTAGAGCAGGGTGGGGAGCCTAAGGAGAAAGGAGGAGGCCACTGTCCATTTTTCCCAGTTACACTCAGCAATGGGACCCAAATACAAATGGACACTTCCATAGAGGCTCTTGCCACATGTGGTCATGTGCCACTTTCTACCAAGCCCAACAATCTCTAGTCCACAGGGCAGCCTTGGTGAAAATCTTAACACTTGTGTTGCAGACCCCAGCATCCTCTTCCTGGCACTCATAGTCCCTCAGGGATGTGTCTTCACCATAAAGATGAGAATGAGTGGATCAAATCTGTCAAAGTAAAAGCAGTTGAAGTCCTGCATTTCAACTAAAGGGTGTGGAGGACAAAGGACTCTAGGAAAAAGGATGACCAAACAGGAAAGTGGCCACCTCAAAGAGGAAAGAGCTAGCTCTGGTGGTTCACCCTGGGGAGTACCTGATTGCACTGTCTTCTCTCCTTTCCTTAGTTGAATCAGTAGAGGGGATGCCCTCCTACCAGATGGCAATTGATAAGAAGCTCCCTGAGAGGCCAGGTGGAAAATTCCTGAGCAGTTCAGGAACTGTTGTGTACAGCTCCAAAGCTTGGGAGACTCCTTGCAGGGTTCAGGTTGATCTCTCATGAGCCTGATTTTGGGGGTCAGTTTTGAAATAGTTGGTGGGGGGATAATATTCAACACCTCCAACTATTGACACCTCACCCAATTTCTTTTTCAACTCACTGTCCATCACCCCCCCCACCTCCAACAAGTGCCCAATAAGCCAGGTGTGATGGTACATGACTGTAATCCCAGCACTCAGAAGGCTGAGGCAGGAGCATTGCCATGAGTTAAAGGCTAGCGTGGGCTACACAGTGAGTTCAAGGCCAACCTGAACTACTAGCAAGATTCTGTCTCAAAAAATAAAATGAAAATAATACAAAACAAAATGATTTGGCTACAGTGCACATTTGACCATGCCCTTTTAAAGACAATGGCAGATCTTATGTTCATAATTTATTACAAATAAAGTATATATAACTTATGTATGAGCCAAGCTTCACATCCTCCCATAAAATCTAAATAAACAATGTGTGAGCAATTAAGTTTCTGTGATAACTGAGCAACAATAAGTTGCTAAGAAAAATGGTATAAAGAATTGAAATTACATCAGCATCTGCAAAATGTTAAGGGAATGGAAAGATATAAGTATGCTAAAACATTGGGATTTTTGGTAGAGGTTAAATTTAACCAGTAAATTATTTGTGAAAAAAATCAGTTATATACATTGGAACTTTTCTTGTTTGTCTTTTTTTTTTTTTTTTTTTGGTTTTTCTCCGGT